TAATATAGTCTTCTTTATTTCTGTTATTAATGAAACTTAGAAATAGTGGTATAATACATGTATGTTAAGCTATGACATAGCATTAAAACAAAAACTACTTTTGTTTGTGTAACCCAAAGACTGAAAAAGATAGCTGGAGACCTTTTTTTTCTTTTGTAAACTATCTTATCCAGATGAAGACAGCAGTGACCAGAACTCTGGGGGTAGAATTTATTGCATTTCTGGTATCAGGGAATGTAAATCTCGATGGTGCCAAGAGGATTGATCTATTGGGAAGGGGGCAAGAGAAAACTAAACAGAAGATCATAAGAAGAATGTATAAATATTTATGAGAATTTATGGATATGTAGTAGGGTTCTGTTTTTAAGGGACAATCCTTTGTTAGGTGTGCTCTCTTGGCTGAATGCAAAGACACCCGGTCGTATTTGTATACTTTATTTTTTTCTCCTAATTTTTTTTTATTAAATTTTTAAATTCTATAAAAATTATGTGAACCTCGTTTTTCACAACCTGGAGCAGGTGACACAGGAACTCGCCCAGGTAGCTTCGGAATGTCTCCAGGGAAGGAGACTCCAAGCCCTCCCTGGCCAGCTCTTTCCAGCTCTCTGCCGCCCTCAGCGGAAAGAATTTCTTGCTCATTTTGAGGGGGAACTTCTTATGTGGACGTTTATATATTTTAACTGCAAACCTGTAACCAATTGTCACCCTCCCGCCTCGCTCTGTGATCTGCCAGGACCTGCTGGGTCCTGGCAGCGCCGCGCTGTTTCGCCCCATCCCAGCAACTCCTGCCCGCGCTTCCCGCACCTCCCCCGGCCCCTACCCGAGCCGCGTTCCCGAGGGCACCGGGAGGATGGCTCGGCTGTCCCCGTTTTCTCCTGGGCAGCGGCGGCACCGGAGATGCGGCCCCGGCTCCCGCTCCGGGCCCGACGCGGTGCCCGTGGCAACGGGAGCGCGCGCGCGCCCTTCCCCTCAGCGCAGCCGCCATGATGGCTCCCCCCTCACACAGCGCTCCCGCCGCCGCCGTGCCCCTGTCGCCATTCCCGCAATTCCCGCACCGATCCCGGCCCCTCGGCGCCACGGGAGCGTCTCCTTCTCCCCCCTTCGCGGTGGTAGGAGCAAAATGCGTCGGCGCCTCTCCCCATCTCCGTCCGTGTGAGAGCAGCCAAGGGCGGTAGGGTGATAGCAGCCGGGAGTCAAGGAGAGCTGCACCCTCCTCAGGTGGTTTTTATTCAGCTTACGCCATCCCTCTGCAATGAGATGGGAGCCCCCCTTTACAAATCCATAAGCAAACAATTGTTACCTCCACTCCTCATTTTTATTCGTGGTTAATCTCCCCCGGCTCTGTACAGCAGGTCGCAGACAGGTGCAGTCTATACCTTGTATCTGTAATATCTGAGATTGTCACCATGGAATGTCAGCTAACAGGAGAATATGTGCTTTTTTTAGAAATTGGCTTTTATTTTTGTGACTGCTGTTGAAGGTACAAGGAGTTTGAGTGTAAAATAACAGACAAGGATTTTAATAACTCAAAAGTGAAGGGCTTTTCAGATTTAAATGTTTAAAAATTTTATGTCAGGAACAGTACTGCACAAATCAGCTAGATCATACACTTTAAAAGTATTAAAACCACCAAATTAAGGTTTAGTTTTCACAAAATGTATTTTAAATGTTACATTTAGATGTTACTCAGAAAACACAGTAAATAAAGTTACAAAATATCATAATCCAAGGTCTGATTTAGCGAAAATAGGGAGCCTGTGTCTTTGTTAACAATGAATAAATATAACATTTAAATAGCTGCAACATATTTATCTTATGCCTTAAATAAAAAAAATAGATATTTATATATCTCAATATTTTAGAAGTCAGTGCTACTGGAAGCTTCTAAATTACAAAGTTGGA